TTACGTGCCATTGACATGTATAAGTTCTCCTCTGACCTGGAAGACTCTGTGCTAATTAGATCACCTCTAAATGATGACCTTTCATTAGTTTTTGATCAATTCAACTCCACTCTTCAATCTATGATCGACAATCATGCCCCAATCATTCGTAGGTCTGTTACTCTTCGCCCTTATGCGCCATGGTTTACGGATAAAATTAAAGTTGCAAAGAGAAAGAGAAGAAAACTGTTATCTTTTCGACGTTTACGTGCCATTGACATGTATTAGTTCTCCTCTGACTTGGAAGACTCTGTGCTAATTAGATCACCTCTAAATGATGACCTTTCATTAGCTTTTGATCAATTCAACTCCACTCTTCAATCCATGATCGACAATCATGCCCCAATCATTCGTAGGTCTGTTACTCTTTGCCCTTATACGCCACAGTTTACAGATGAAATTTGACTACCGACCTTATAGCTAACTTTATTAAATCCTCCAGAGTGAAAACTTGTGCTCTCGATCAACTACCAGCTTCTGTGCTAACAAAATGTTTACCAAGGTTGCTACCAGTCATAACGGATATTGTAAATCATTCCTTAGATGAGGCTCTTATGCCAAACTCACTCAAAACTGCCTTGATTATTCCATTGTTAAAGAAGACTAATTTAGATACTGAAGATTTTAAGAATTTTCGTCCTGTTTCTAACCTTCCATTCGCCTCTAAATTGATTAAGAAATTGGTTGTGGTACAACTTGTGCAGTATATTGATGACAGCAACCTTGATGAGAAATTACAATCTGCTTACAAGAAATTGCATAGCACTGAGACTGCCCTTCTGAGAGTTCATGACGACATCTTTCGTACTGTGGATCGTGGTTGTACTGTTGTTTTATAATGCTTAATCTTTCTGCGGCATTTGACACGGTCGACCATGGTTTATTACTTCACAGACTTAATACTCAATAGTACCCAAAAGTGTCATGGAAGAAGCCACTAATGATAAAGCTAAGAAAAATGCAACATTCACCAACGAGGAGCTTCTGGCATTGGCGGACAACTGCTGTCTGCCAGTGACCAATGTTCACATGTAGGTCGAGCACGTTAACATTGTATCCAGACAAAAGGCAAGAGCCGCAGAGTGCTCCTGTAAGAAAGCAACCCTGGGAAAATGTTATTTATGTTCAATTTTATGTTGATGTGCTCAATTACCTTTTTTATGTCATTAACGTTACTATTTTATGGGCAGGTGCGTGAACATTCCCTTTACTTTGTTTTTGTCACATTGACGATAATACAGGAAGCCAGAGTGAAAATGAGACTGTTAAAAATGTTTCGTGCTTTTGCGAGAAGGAGGAGTATGGGCAAGCAATAACACTCGCTTAGTCAGTTACTAAGATAGCAGTATTAGCTATCTTTATTCCACAAGATAAAAGAATAATTCTTTTTTTTCACAGATTCATGAACATGTGCAAGAAACAAGGCAAAGCATGCGAGATCTGGTACCATGGACCCTACGTGAAGATTTCGAAAGAAAATAAAAGAATCTGTTTGTTTCAATTGCAAGTAATTTGTCAAGGCTCAAAATTGAGACTGACAGAGCCGTAAAACACATAACATTTGCCGCTACTTTATTCCAGTTAGTCACCGGCAAAAAGCAACTTGGGATGTCTAACTTTGGGCCCTGTAGAGCCCTGTATAGTAAACACAGGCCAAAGTAAGTGTATGTGCGTTGAAATTGTCATTCTATGACTTACAAGGTATAAAGCTGAACGTCACTGTGTGCTGAAAACAGGTGGACTAGCTATTTTTGCTAACTGCATATACTATTGTTAAACTTTTATTGAAAATTATGCAGGGAAGTGAGTTACAATTTGGGGGTCCTTTCAAATTATGTTCCCCAGGGGAGGGACAGTGGTAGCTTTTGTGGAAGAATATTGGCCCTGGGTAGGTGGAATTTGCAAATGCCTGGGGTATCCCTGGGGTCAACCCCCCGGGATGGCCGCTGATAAGTGCATAAACAAGTGCTAATAAACTTCGCAGAGCACAGTTGCGTTTTGCTCTGCTGTTTTTTGAATTCCCTGTGTTTTCAATACATTCTCAGAAATAAGAGATTAACTTTTTGGGAAATTTCCATCTGATTCAAATCCGATTTTTGACCTCAAAAGTGGGGGGTTGACTTATACACCAGTTGAACTTATACACAAATAAATATAGTAGATGGTGTCAGATTGATATTTATCGATGAGATTTCCATGGTAGGCAACAGTATGTTTAATATTCAAATCAATAACAGACGTAAAGATATTAAGGGAGGTCATTTACCCTTTGTAACTGTGAGTATTGTTGCTATAGGTGACCTTTTTCATCTTCAGCCAGTAATAGATGGATATATATTTAAGGAACTAGATAATTCAGAGTATTCTATTCTTGCACCCAACCTTTGCCAAGAACATGTTAGAATGTTTGAATTGCATGAAATTATGAGGCAAAGAGAGAGTAAAATGTTTGCTCAAATGCTAAATAGATTAAGAGAAGGTAAACATAATTGCCAAGATATTATGAAGTTTGAAGAGAGATTAATAGATTCCAACAGCACTGAATATCTTGATATACCTCGCTTATTCATACAAAATGCTAAAGTAAATAACTTCAAAGACAGAGTTCACCATGCTATGTCTGGTCCTAAGTACTCAATCAAAGCACATGACACTGTCATTGGAGCTCAATCTCACACTCTCAGAAAAAAAATTCTTAAAGAAGCTCCACTTGATCAACCAAACAAAACATACATAATTGAACCTTGCAGTAGGTGAAAGGACAGACATATCTATTAACATAAGAACTCATGATGGCTTGACAAATGGTGCTGCTACCACAGTCAAACTTACTCAACTACAGCAAACTGGCAAACCCTCAGGTATTGTATGGGTGCAATTTGAATGTGTTGATGTCGGTGAGTAAATTAAATTGAACGTTTTTCTTACGAAGATTAACGAGTGGCCCTACATCTGACCAGGAGACGAGCTTGGGCTCGACAGATTTTCTATCTTCCTCAGCCAATGCCAAAGCACCATGTCAACTCTAACTTTCCTGTCTATTCTCAATCATCCTAATAATCTGCAGAGCTTAGTGACCAAACTTACTTTTCCGCCTCAAGACTGATGGAACTGAGAAGCAAATAAACAAGAACCACAAGAGGAGCAATCAACACCTTTGACAATTTCATGAACTTTGTGCCAGCAGAAGCAGGGATTGCAACCAATCCATTTTCTCGGGAGAGGCTCTGCGTCGCGTGGATGGTCCCTCTAATAGACCTGATCGTACCAACAAAGGGAAAGGCCCTGGCAAGTTAAAACCTTTGGAGAGCGTACTCGTATCTCTCATCACGTTTCCAATCACGCAACAAATGTAACTGCTGACTAACTGATGGGCTCCCACAAGCCCACAAGCTTTTGTGTACTCTGTAGCAAGGGTCATGACTTAGACGATTGCAAGGATTACTTAAAGAAATCTTGGTTGCGGAGGAAAGACTTTCTTAAGGAGAAAGCACTCTGCTTTGCTTGCTACGATCCTGGACATAGAGCTCACAGTTGTGTCCAGAGGAAAACCTGTTAGAAGTGTTCTCGTTGACATCCTACAGGACTGCATGATGACAACTTTGCCCATAACGAAGAGGCCCCCAAGCAACTGAGTCACCCTCCTCTGCAACAGAAGGACTCTGCATCAAATGCCCATACAGAAAGAGGAAGAGAATATCTGTAATGCCGTAGGTACTGAGGAATCCGTTTCTGCCCATCCCATCGTTCTAGTCAGGCTCAAATCTGAAGGGAGAGAAGTCCTCACTTATGCCATGCTCAATGCCTGTAGTACCATATTGTTTGTTCTCAGTGATATCACGGCCATGCTAAAGGTGAATGGTATGGAGACGTAGCTGATGGTGAAGACCATCAAGAGTGTGAAGTTGCACAACTCCAAAGTCTTGAATGGATTGGTCGTGACTGATTTAAATGGTGATCATCCTGTGCAGTTGCTGAAGACATTCACTAAAGAGGACCTTTCTATGCCCGAAAACATCCCTACACCTGAACTTGCCCATCATAGGGAAACATCTTAGAAGCATACTGGAAGATTTACCTCCACAGTCGCCCAATGCCAGGATCAGTCTTCTGATTGGCTTGAATTGCCCAAAGGCTCTTGAACCAGCAGGTATATTAGCGAGTGACAAGGGTGGTCCCTTTGCAATCAACACATTTGCCAGAAGGGTGATAATGGGGTCCCTGTACATGTGCAGTACAAAGCATCCAGTTGTAAGTTGTTGTAGAGTTGCTGCGAAGGAAGTTGGTTCGGGGAAACACCACGGTCATCACTTCATGGTGGAGACCAAAGTTAGAGAGATGGTCACACCACAAACACTGAATAAAATGTTTGAACTGGACTTCACTGAGCAAATGGACGACAAAGAGCAAGAGTATTCACAAAAAGACAAAAGGTTTTTGAAGATAGTCTGCCAGGGAACTCAGCACTTAGAAGATCTTCTTTATGAGATTCCCCTTCCACTCCACAGTGATGATCCATGGTCTCCTGACAACAGGGAGCAAGTCCTCCAAAGAGCACACTGGTTAAGGAAGAGTCTTATCAAGAGTGAGAAGTTTTACGCAGACTATGGTTTTGCTCAGAAGGTACTGTCACATCTTATGCATGCAAAGACAAGTCAAGTTTGGTACATACCCCACCATGGTTTTTACCATGCCAAGAAACCTAACAAGATCAGGTGGCATTCGACTGCAGCACCAGATTTAAAGGCAAATCACTAAAAAACAAGCTGCTTCAGGGCCAAACTTGACGAACTGACTCCTATGTGTTCTGACCAGATTTCACTAGGGTCGAATTGTGTCTGCAAGTGACAATTAAATCAATGTTCCATTAAGTTTGATGGGTGCCAGAAAGCCAGGGAGACTTCCTTCAATTTCTATGGTGGCCTGATGGAGATTTAACAAAGGATCTTGAGGAGTATCAGATGAATGTTCACCTATTTGGCTGGTCTTCATCACTGAGTTGCTCAAACTTCGTGTCGCAGAAAGATGCCAATGACGTAGAGAAGATTGTTGGTGCAGATACTGCTGATGTTCTGAAGAGTTTCTATGTCAACAATTGTCTTTGTTCAGAAGAGTCAGTAGACTTAGCTGTCGAAAGAATGCATGGTGTTCACTGTGCTTGTGCATATGGAGGGTTCAATTTGGCCAAGTTCCTCAGTAACAATAAGGTCGTTCTTGAAAGTATTCCAGAAGAAGCATGTGCCCATGGAGTGAGATCATTGGAACTAGGCAACAACTATTATCGAATCAAGAGGGCCCTTAGCATTCAGTGGGGGATCGAGTCTGACATGTCCAGTTTCAGAATCAACATAAAAGAACAACTGCTAACACTAAGAGGGATTTTGTCCAACATATCTTCTATCTACAACCCCCTAGGAATAGCTGCACCTTTTCTGTTGGTGGGAAAGAAGATATAGCAGGATTTGTATCGTTTGAAGTTGAGTTGGGATGATGAAATCAGCCAAGAGTTCTGTGTGCGTTGGGTGAAGTGGAAAAGCTAGTTGCCTAACTTGGAGCAATTCTTTATGGAACAATGTCTCAAGCCCAAGAACTTTGGTATGGTTATCTCAGGACAGATCCACAGCTTCTCGGATGTCAGTTCAACAGGCTATGGTCAGGTGACTCGCCTTAGAGTCAAGAATGAGAGGTGACATCCATTGTAAATTCCTTGTGGGGAAAGCTCGCATAGCTCCAGTTAAAGCTATGACAGTGCCACACCTTGAGCTCACATCAGCCCCAGTTTCAGTTCAAGTGGGAGAAATGTCTGCTAGAGAGTTACTAGAGGTAACAAGAGGTTTGGAGGCTTGGCTAGGGTGAACTCAGCTTGGCGGGGGCAAACTCAAAAAGTGAGGGGGCAAACATGGTATGAGGTAGGGGCAGACTCAAAGAGGTGAACTTGATAGGTGGTGAACTTTTTGTTAGGTTTCTTTCCTCTGGATAGCTCTCCTCTCTCTCGCTCACTAATTTAGCTTTCTTGCTCCATCTATATCTGGTAGTTCTTGGAACATTACATGTGGAAGAATCACATAAATGTTTCAAATATGGACCTATAGCGATCTCACTGTTGTCGGCCATGTTCGCTCATTCAATTGCTGACCTGAATGACCTCAGTGACTAACATGACCCGCATGCCCCAATAACGATATAACCCACAATGCCCCTTCACACTGGATGCCCAGCAAAGAGTGCGAAATTCATGTATCAAAGGTTAAGTTGGCCCAAACTAAACGTTATTCAGCCACAGTAGAAGCTACAGTATGTGTTTATATATTTATTGTGTGTCAAAGAAAGGTAATACCAACTCTAGAAGATTGCAAAAGGCTCCCAAATGATTGGAGGATTAAGGTTTGAGACATTTTGGGTTAACTCTGAATTACTACCCTTTGTTATAGTACTGAATTGAAGCACGTCAGAATGTGTATGCATAAATTATCAAGCTTACATTGCTCTTCTGCCCTACAACAAGGATTTTATCGCTAAAATTTAATAACTTTCAACTAATAATCCATGGGTTCAGAACTTAAGAGATAAGAGCATATAGCGATCATTCACCAGTTGATTTTCTCTTAATTTGATTTCTTGTGAAACAAACATATTCCAGAAACAGATTGCAGGTCTTTTGAAATGGATTGTTCTGGTGCAAGATATTTTCGAAATTATATTCACAATGTACAAATGAGATATATTTAGTTTTCTTGTGGTTGATTAGATATGTCTATTCATGGCTTTCGCCCTCATTTTCAAATTCAGGCCACATGTGCACACTGCGGGTGATTTAATAGATCCAGAGACCACAAAACTTGAAAATGAATACAGTACCTCTTAATTTCTCTGAACACGACTTCCTGTCAAAATTAGGGCATTACATTTTTTACAATTAGGAGCACATATTAAAAATAAAACTTTCTGTTCATATTATTTAACTTTCTTTTTAAAACGTAAAACTTTCCATTAATTTGTTTCTTTCCTGCTTGTACAGTGTACTACTTGGTTGAGTTTGTAGATGATGGTACTCTAGACATCAAAACTTACAACGACTTCAGAACAAGGGGGGATGGCATTAAAGAGGCACACTATGGGGATACCTTCTACTAGTCCACAATTACTTTGAAAAGCGATGAGTCTGAGCACATTTTTTTATCATCTTGTGACACAGAGCTAAGTTGTTTGATTTTGGTTTTCTATGCAAATCTGAAAGAATTAACTCTGAGTTAGCTTTGTGGCCACATTTCCTTGTGATTTGGCATGCCACCTTTTAAGCTATGGGAAAAATTTCCATCTCACTCTGCTGAAAAATATACAGCTTTTGCAGAGTGGTTAATACATCCATCCTAAGATTCTAAGTTTCAATGTTTTCTGAAACGGAAGAGTAAAATGGCCTTATAAATTATCACTCAATATGTGTTTCATTGGTATAAACTCGTAATCTAATGAGAAATACATGGAGAATACATTTGCTGTTGTATGCTTATGATAAATGAAAGGTTTGCCAAAATAAGTTCTAAAAAAATGAGCCAGTTTTTTTTTAAATGCTCGTGGCTCGGTTTTCAGCATGGAAGCATGACATTGATGGAAATGGTGCCACCTACTTTGATACATGGTCCATTTTCTCAAAATCTTTTTGAAAGTCATGATCAAGGTAATTAAGGAGAGAACTGGATATTGTAATCCCAAATCAATGGAACAGGGATAGTGACAAACTACTGGTACTTGGTGTGCCTCTTGCAAGTTGTATATTTTGTAGATAGGATTTAATAAAATAATTTAATTTGATAAAAATAATTTAAAACTAGCATCAAATAGATGAGAGAGAGGGCAACAAGATCACAAACAAATGCAATTCTTGTGTTTCAAACTTGTGATGTGATTGGTGGCTGCAACTGAAGTTTCATTTTACTGTAAGAGGATATCTTTTTGACGGCTGGAAATGTGTTAACTTGCAGGTGATAAAGAGGAAGTGATGAAAAGAAAAGTTGTCATGTAGAAATTGAAAAACCCCAGACAAAATGAACAAAAAAAAAAGAACGGGAAAGAGAACAAAGAAAAAGGATGGCAGTGAGGAGGAGGATGAAGAATCCACAAAAAACAAAATGGCTGATGTGGAACAATTTGCAAGAAAGAAAGCATAACGAGAGAAGAAACAAGCAGAATAACAAAAGGCTAAGGAAAACAAGGAAAGGGAAAAGGCTTTAGAGGAAAAGGAAAGAGCTGCTTTGAAGGAAAGGGATAACTGCATACTTGCAGAAATGAACCCTTTAGCAAGAATTCTGGATGTTGAAAGCAAGCAGCCATTTATCAATAATCTCATGAAGTGGAGTATGACAATGCTGAGCCCATGGATGATGAATACTTTGGTGGAAGAGATATTATATCTGAATGTTCGTCTCACCTTCATCCCCATCCCAACTCTCACAAATCAGCTTTAAATCAACCCCTCCCCCTCCCAACTCTGCCATATCAGCTTTACAGACCCCTAGAGCTACAGTTGGTGGAAAAAGACCCAGGGATTTCAGCCAGAGTCAACCACAACTTTCTCCAAGGCCAGCTGTGGGTGGAAAAAAGCCTAGGTCCATGTTCTACCACAGCTGCCAAAAATGTGAGGAGTACAAGGAAATTATAGCCACACAAGATCAAGATAATTTGCTCAAGGTAATTTCACTTACTTTTAACATGATTAGCACTCATAAATTAAATCATAATATAGAGAATGCAGAACATTTTCTTGTCTGCCTTTACTTTGGCTTCTCATTAGATTGACTAATTGTGGGGGAAAAGATGGGTACCAGTTGCTCATAGTCTACCTCACTTGTATAAGAGTACAATAACTCTGAAGTTAGGGAATAAACCATTTTAAAGCAGTTTAGTAAGATTACAACACTTGCAAATTGTATTTTAATGATGCATCATATTGTTTCATATCGTGATGCTTCTATTAAGATATGAATATTATTTTGAGGGGAAGAGTATTTTTCCACGCTTACACACTTATGACCAATCCTGGTAACAGTCCAACAGACTGACCCACAGATTGATTGCTACATTTAATCTTCCAATAATAATGATGTAACTAAAGCTATAACGTAATCCATTTCTTTGTTGTAGTGAATGGTTGTTATGAAGAGCTCCCTAAACCTGGGTAAGTCTCCGAGATTTGGGCAGCAAACTTCAAGGTAAATGCTTTCAGGCCTACCTGGCAATTAGATTGTAAAGCTTATGTTATTCAGTTTATAGCTGTTTTATAATTTGAGCTTTAGAGGCATATCTGACCATCAAATACAATGTGAAGAGATTTTGTTTAGAGTTTTAAATCATTTCTTACATGGTTACCGATATCAATTGAAAGTACTTGAACTGCTTTAGTGGTCACGCACTTTTAAAATTCAAATGTTCACCATAGCCTTACCTCAAATTAACATTAAAAACATGATACAAGATAAGTATAAAGGACGCGATTGTCATGAAAACCTTAAAGTTAAATTTGTGTTTCCTTTTTAGGTGGTTGAGTTATCAAAAGGTAGAGGTGTCTACTTATATGTGGATCATATTAACACAACAAAGAGTAAAAACAGCCCAACTTCAGCAGCATGTTTTCTGCTCAGCTGCTTTTATAAAAATTCTGAACTAGAGGGCAAGAATTTGACTGGAGCAAATGCCAAAGAGGGCTGAAATGCTGACATTGTTTCCTCCATTTTGGGTGAGTACATAGCATTTAGTGTTTTTGTCATTTTATTACTGTTGGGAATCAGAATGTACATGTTGAACAACATATGCAAGTTTCCAAGACTTTCTTTGAGATAATCCATAGAGAAAACTGAGGAAAACTCAGAGTAAGGATTCTTAAGTTCCTTTAATCTAAGTGATCTTGAATTACTTATTGTGGTCTGAGTCTTTCCAAAGTTACACAACCTTGTTTCCATGCACAAGTCCAGTAAGTTAAGTTCTTTTGCTTGTTTTTTTTTCAGATTTTCCAATAAAGCAAGGGGGAGAGGCATCTGCAGTCAAGCAAGCCCTAAGAAACAAAACGTGTTCTTTAACCACAAGAGAAAGTGGTTGGCAACCTGCCGGGAAAGTGAACAATTCAATTGATTGAATGAAGATTTAATATGTTATGATTGAATACTCAGCAGATAGACTATTTTCTAATAGGATTTGCATGAGGCTCGCTTACTGCTGTAGTTATTAATTATTACATTTTTTGACTAGCAATTTTGTATTGGCTTTGATCCCAACTAGAGACATTGTAAGAGACATTGCTGATTTCCATGAAATTTGTTTTCTGTTGTACATTATTGAATGATGAGGTCCATTTCATACACATTTTTCATTTTAAAACAATGAATAGTGTTTGTTGAGTATCTCAGCATTGCGAGAGTCATTTCTGATTTGCATGGAATTCATTGCCGTAATTTATAAAATA